CCGTGTCCTCTCCACCACACCCGCAAGATTAGAGTCCAGGGCCCCCTCCAGCACCCGCTCCCTCCTGTCCTCTGCCTGGTGGCTGGGGAGGCACACGGCTCCGGCCATCTCCCTACAGACATAAAGGGGCAGAGTGAGAGATGTTTCTAGATGCCCGAGAAACCCCGAGTAAAGGCATAGCTCAGGTGTGGTGGCCACTCTGACATTTGAGGCAGAGGCAGGATCAGGTGACTGGAGTGTGACCTTCTTAATCACGGACTCTGCTTTCCTTGACCCAGAGGTCCCTGACCCCGGCATCCCCCATTTACTCCTGATTATACAAACATTTGCCACGAACCATCAGCTGCTCAACTACTTTCTTTCTTTTTTCCCCCAAATGGAAATGTCTGACGTGTCCCCTTTGTATGGAGCAGCTCACAGTCACCATGATAGAGTGACATAAAACCAAGCCACGCAGAGTGGGAAATGCCTGACTCCAGGTACAGCCCGTGCTGCCCCCAGGGTCCACCTCGGCTCCTGTGTCCCTCACAAATCCTTCCCAGCAGCCCCTCGGCCCTTCTGGCCACTCGGCCCTTCTGGTGAGCCTGGCCTCTTTGGTCTCCAGACCACGTTGATGGATCTTGGCAAGGGAAGGGCGGCTCGTCCAAACTCCTGTCTGCTGTGACAGCCCCAGCCCGGGCAGCTGACAGATGGCGAGCTCCTGATGGATGAGCCGGGCAGCTCACTACCTTCTGGGGCAGCCCTTCCACTACAGGGCAGCTCTAATTGCCGGAAAGTTCTTTCTTTTGTTTAGCTAAAATCGGGCACCATGATGCCCTTGGTTGAGGGCCAGCCCTCTGGGACCCCACAAAGTCAATCTGTCCCCGTTCCACATGACAGATTCCACACTGTTGAAGACAGCACGTCCCCCGTGAGCTCGCTCTTTCCCTGGTTAAACACCCTGATTTCGGAAAAACACATCAGAGGAAGAACAGTCTGAGCGCCCTCGCTGACCTGTTTTGTCCTGTTGGTGCCCTTCAATATCCATCTTCAAGTGTGACAGGAGCCAGCGCTGTTCTCCACAGGGCTTTGAGCCGGAA